TGGGGCTCTTGGAACTCCACTGTTCTGAAGTCGATGGTCACTTAGTCCTCAACTTGATATGCATCAGAGCCTGGGGTTCCTGCCTATAGAGACCTCAGTCACAGGCTCAGAACTAGACCGTCACTTGCAGAGGTTCTCGAAGGGGGAGGTCAGGTCATGCAGCACAGCTACCCTCCCTGTGGTCTCACTGGGGTACTACTGAGTCAATGCTCTGGGTAAAGACTTTATGGGTATAGTTCCCCCAGTTAGCACTCAGGGTCCATACCTTGCTCCAGTTAGGGACAAGGCTACTCCCTCCACAGAACTGGGGCTGCCCATGTTATATCAGGGCCTTCCCTGCCTGATACCTTTTGTGCTGAAATGAGGGGACACTTCAAGCTGAGAGCTCTGCATGGTGCCTACTGGGGCTCAAAAAATGAGCTGAGCTCTGATGGTCGTTTCTGTTGATGAGAGTCTCCTCAAAAGACACAAGTTCTTTAGTTTGACTGCTGTTAGGTCTCAGTCTACTCCCTCTGTAGCAGGAGCAGGATTACTGTCCCCACCTCCAGCTCCAACCCCCACATCTTCACGTCCTCCCATCTCCCCACCCCACGCAGCATATACCAAAACCCTTGCCACCCAGAAACACTGTAGACCTAAATAAAGGGGAGCCTCAGACTACAGCTTTGGAGAAAGCTCTCAGAACTGTGGACAGGAGTGGGGCTCTATGAATCTCCCTTCATTTTGTGTATGCCTTCAAAAAACTCAGGAAATACCCTCATCTTGCCTCCTTTAGGGCCTAGGTATGACTTCTCTTCAGAACTAAGGATAACTGCACTGTAGTGTGGGCCTGACACAATCTCTGTGTAGCTACTTCTGGAGAGGAAATGAGGGTACTGCTTAGCCTGACACCTCTGAGCTGCATCTCAGACAGCAGAGACAAGGGGATTTTATGGGGCCTTCTGTGTTCTGTGCTGGAGGGTTCTCTCATTCCTCATTGAGAGTGTTCACCTTGACACTCAATTGTTCCTGGCGATTTACTCTGTGATTACCTGATGATAATGAAGCTTTGGTTGTGCAGTGGTTAAGGAATTCTCCAGCTAACCAAAGTTCAGTTGCTTTGAACCCACCAGCTGTTCTGCAAAGAAGGATGAGGAGTCTGCTTCTATAAAGAATTTATGGCCTTGGAAACCCAATGGGGCCTCTATGAGTCTTAAATGACTTGATGGCAGTGAATTTGGTCATTTGGTTTTACCTGAGGATGATCATACTCGATCAAGGTCCATACCTTAATGTTTGGAATGGTTTGGAATCAGAGTGCTCTCCATTTTCCCACCCCTCTTCAGGACCTAGCAGGAGTGACAGCAAGGATAAGTCTCCATGGGACACCATTGTTCATTTGGGGTCCTTGCATCATCTGCATTCAGGGTCATCACCTGGATATCTACCTTATTGTTTCACAAATAACACACACATTATAAGGTTCTGGCAAACTGTGAAACCCTCTCACATTAGTTTCCTATGTGTGCTATGTCATATGTGTGTGGACATTATTTACATGGGCATGTTATAGGGAAGAATACGCTATCAGAGACTGAGACTGCTATATCTACTGACTTGAGGTACCCTGCTTAGACCAAGGCTCTCAGGTTGCTGATGATTCTGAAGAGTAAGGGAGGGGATTCTCAGCCTGACAGCTCTGCCTGAGGCTGTCTAATCTGAGAACAGGTGCCTGCTGGTCTCTGTGTGACCCCTATATTCTGGGATGTTGGTCTTCCCAGTCCTTACTCAGGATGTCCTCATCTTCATTCTTGTCTCTTGGATGAAAGCATTCCTGGGAAATATCACATCCCTGGAAACCCTTGAGCAGCTCCTCTACTGCACATATTGCATAGAATGGGTCACTGTCCCAGAATGATGTGAGATGGGGACCTTGTAGCACAAGTCAGGAGGCCCAAGACAGGTGGTGGCCTGTCAGGGAAAACACACACTGATCCATTCCATCACATCAGGAGCTAGACTTGGTATTTGTTTTGATCTTTTTAGGTTATGTGACATTGCGTATGTACATGATCCTAATGTCCTGAAATATTATCTTCCTTTCTTCACTCATTTGAATGTTTATGCTTATTGCTATGGCTCTGCATTCCAATCCAGTACACTGGGCATGGAAATTCTCTTTTCACCCATAGAGATACATTCTGTAGTAGTGACTTGTAAAGTGAATTCAGAGACCCTAAATCTACCTGAAGTTTTAAGAGGGTAATACTGTGGGCTCCAGACAGATTCAGGTCAGGGTTCTAGTGTAGCCCTGACACTTAGCAGAGCTGTGAAAATTCAGAACTAGGAAACTTTTCATTGACAAAGTCAGTCTGAAAGCCTGAGCCAGTGAAACATTTGGAAAGTGTGTAATACACATAAATGACCTGGTCCAGTGCCTGTGAGGATTTAGGTCCAGAAGGAATGGAAGCTATTACTATGAGCATTTTGACATCACATGATACGACTCGCCTCTCTAAGGGTTTTTTGTTAGTTACTTAGTTTGTTTTTTAAATCCAGGATGCTTCAGAGAATGTGCAGTCATCCAGGACAAAGCAAATCAAATGAGACTGAATGCAGCATAGGAAGGAAAAGTAGATAATATTTGACATTAAGGAATCTGTTATTTAATGTGAGTGTGGGATAGAATTGTCCAGGTGGCTGCAACACAAGACTTCCAGAAGCAGTGTCAAGGGCCAGCAATTCCCCCTCCCAGATGCCCTTTCATCTAAGTCATCCCTATTTTCATTCAATAAACCACCACTAAAAATCTGGTCATCACTCAGACTTTGCCTAAGGATACTCAGGAAATCCTAATTCTAACATTATTTGAATAGAGTGGGCTCTGGCTCCCTCAGCCCAAGACAAAGGTCTAGAACAGTGGCTTCCTCACATCTTAGCTCGATGGAGTATCACCCTATTTCTCAGAAACTTCCTGAAAATGGTGTAAATAAAACACCCAGTCAGTGCATGTATTCAAGTGTACTGGGACAAGAGTACAGGACACTTCCCAGTCTGTCCCAGGTTGGACTCCTCTCTGGTTTCCCACAATCCCAGAGTCTCTGTTAAGAGCTAGGCTGCATTTCAGGCTCAATGTCTCCCCATGATGGGAGTGTTTGCCCCTGTGCACCCCTACCACAGCCTCATTAAGTCATCCACACTTTATCCCTCCCCTCCCCTACTACTGTTCAGCACCCCATGCAGCCTAAAATAATCTCCCATCCAGGCGTTTGGAATTTCCAAAAAACCTCAGATTGACCTGCCTCAGGGCCCTTGCACTGACTGCTCTCATCTACAACCTCCTGCTTCTTTTCATTGTTTTTAAGCCTTAAATCATATCCCAATGACTTCCTTACCTGATAGCTGCTCCTAGACTATTCTATAGCCAGGGATCTGGCTGCACCTTCTGTTTTTCTTTTCTTTTTTTTAAGCATTTCCAGTAGTAAATAGAAGCCCACAAACACCAGATGTTCAGTTAACTTATGAGGGATAAAATAGACAATGAACAAATTTGTAATTTGTGATAGTTTAATTTCTACATTCCAGAATAAGCTCAAGAAATTCAGGTATACATCTTTTCATTACCATAAAAAAAAATTCAGCAAAATAAGATTTTACAAAATAGAGTAAAACACTTTTCTTTCTTTTATTCAAACTATTCCACTATGGGAATTATTCTCATTTCCAATAGAATCCCTACTCTAATGTGTATTATCTTGTTCTCGACCAGAAGG